TACTGTGTCCAGTTTTGGTCCCCACACTTCAAGAAGGATGTGGATAAATTGGAGAGAGTCCAGCGAAGGGCAACAAAAATGATTAGGGGTCTAGAACACATGACTTATGAGGAGAGGCTGAGGGAGCTGGGATTGTTTAGTCTGCAGAAGAGAAGAATGAGGGGGGATTTGATAGCTGCTTTCAACTACCTGAAAGGGGTTTCCAAAGAGGATGGCTCTAGACTGTTCTCAATGGTAGCAGATGACAGAACGAGGAGTAATGGTCTCAAGTTGCAGTGGGGGAGGTTTAGATTGGATATTAGGAAAAACTTTTTTACTATGAGGGTGGTGAAACACTGGAATGCGTTACCTAGGGAGGTGGTAGAATCTCCTTCCTTAGAGGTTTTTAAGGTCAGGCTTGAGAAAGCCCTGGCTGGGATGATTTAACTGGGAATTGGTCCTGCTTCGAGCAGGGGGTTGGACTAGATGACCTTCTGGGGTCCCTTCCAACCCTGATATTCTATGATTCTATGATTTGAGCATAAGCTTTCGTGAGCTACAGCTCACTTCATCGGATGCATACTGCTGTATGCTGTAGCTCACGAAAGCTTATGCTCAAATAAATTGGTTAGTCTCTAAGGTGCCACAAGTACTCCTTACCTTTTTTCCTGTTTCATAAAAATTTCATATCTAATTGCCATATGGTAGAGGATGTATAGCACCCTTGCTGCAAGAGGCTTTTTCCTCTCATTTCAGGCCTTTCATATTTTGGAAGACGTAACCATTCTTGTGGTGCCCTATTGGCAGAGGGGGATGTTATTCCAAACTGCTGAAGTATTTAAACATATAGTGACCAAACAGCACATTTGTGAGTGGAGTGGACTAGTTAGCTATACAGAGGGGCATGGAAAATATGCCCTTCCCTGCAGGGTGACTGGCTATATGGAGTTCCTCCTTCACAAAATGTTTGCAGCTATCAGCATTCAGGATTGGGTCAGAATCCATGAAGGAATGAACATTATGCTGTTAGCTCACTCATGGCTTACCCTATTATTTCTGCACACAAACACTCTGAAATGTTCAGCTTTCCTACACCCCACACCTGGCACAGTTCTGGGAGAAAACTGACACCCCACTCATACTTTGGAGAAATGATTTTGTGACCCAGAGACACTGTGGATTGCCTCTAACTGAAATGGACTAATTGGAAATAGAAGACTATTTCCCAAACACGTACACTGAGTTCAGTGTTTACAGATGGCTCCATAGACCCAGGAGGAGTAATTACAGAATGGCAAATTTTTTATTACTGAAAGGAAAACAAGAATGACCCTAGCAATCATCTTGTGACTTAACTGTTAAAATTATGTTTACAGCTGTTTTTGAATGTTTGAAATGCCATGTTGCCATTTTGAACTCCACGTGGTGGGGGTACGCCAAGGCACTGTGATACAATCTGCCATTAAGGTGCCACAAGTACTCGTTTTCTTTTTGCGAATACAGATAACACGGCTGCTACTCTGAAATTTGCCATTAGTGGCCACATGCTGGCCTATCATTTTTGGGGCTTATCATTTTTGCATTGCTTCTTATAGCAGATATCCTTTCCGTTACTGTAATAAACTGTAAATTTGAGTCATACGTTTACTGGACTCGGTGGCGGCTTCTGTCTCCCCCTGGTTTTCTGTAAGCTCAGCGAATAGGGGCCAAGCATTTGCTGTTGATCGTGATCCACAGCCTGCTCTTGGACTGGTTTCATTAAGAGTCACTCTGTGCTCCTCACTGAGAGCCTGCTGCTGGCTCTCCTCAGATATTCAGGGCCCAACAGGGACCATCCTGGCTGACCAGGTTGTCATGAAGCACTGTTGTCTCTGTGCTTAGTACAGCATCCAGAACTCCATCAGTCATCATAAAATGGGAACGTTGTTGACAAGTAGCTGAGGTGCAGTTTTTACTTCTGGTCTTCCGATACTTGCTCTTCAGCATCTTAATGTGCTTGCTGCACTGGTCACCTGTCTGGAAAATCTGCAGAGGTGCCAGCTTTTTAGCTATCTACTAGTATACATGGGCATTCCTGGTGCTTTTCCTGAAATACACAATTTACTTGCCTTGCACCAGAGATTCACCAGAATTTGGCTGTGCTCCTGTAATCATGAAGCAGCTTACTTTGCAAAAGGCTTGATTGATTTGCTCTCTCTTGCAAATCCAGGAGATTCTCTGATACTGTGCTTGGAGATTGGTGATTAGAAGAGAATGGGTAAATGCTGACCTGATCTGCTGCTGCTCACCAAGTGGGAGAATGGCTTCCATTTTAATAGAATGGATTGCAGATTGTTGGGATAGAGAGAACTAATGAAGTTGTCGCATGGAATTGTGGGATACTTCTCATGGACTCCGAGGACCTGAGTGAAGCTGGGTTGCGTCTATACTGCAAAGCAACAGGGCTCGGACCTTGTGTCCTGGCTTGACCCGTGCTCTGACCCTCCAGCGCTGCAAGGTCCTGGGACCCTGGGTCTGAGCCCCCAGTTAGCACAACTGCAGTGTAGATGCAAGGGGGGAGGGGAATTAGGCTTGAGCCAAGCTCAAGGACAGGCTTATGTTGCAGTGTAGACATAACCCATGTCATTCACTTTCCCTGTTGGTTTAACAAAGGCAGAGGATAGAGTGAAAGTCTGTCTAGTGTGGTGCTTATCAACAAGTGTATTGTATTTTAGCAGCTTAACACAAAAACTGATTACATTTTTATCAATATCATCCTCTTACCTAAATTCTACTAGATACCTAATAGAATTGAAGTTGTTTTCCTGTTTTTGGTTTAATAAAAATCAGCAATGTCCTTTAAAAAAAAAAAATTGGAGACGTGGCAAACACACGGACTAAAAGGAAATTTGTGGGTAATATAACATGTCCTAGAAGCTTAGTTAAAAATACATCTTCTGGTTTGTATGTAGTGTAGTTGTAGCCATGTTGGTCCCAGGATATTAGAGAAGCAAGGTGGGTGAGGTAATACCTTTTATTGGACCAACTTCTGTTGATAAGAGGGAGAAGCTTTCGAGCCACAAAGAAGAGGTGGTCTTCAGGTCTGGGAAAGGTAAATGAGTGTCACAGCTAAATGCAAGGTGGAAGAGATTGCTTAGCATAAATAGTTAGCACGTACTATGAATTTAAGCTCCCAGGCTCATCTTTTGGAAGAGTTGTGCAGGTTTCCTATGAGGATGAAGTGTTACAAAGGGACCTCACAAAAGTGGGTGACTGGACAACAAAATGGCAGATGAAATTCAATGTTGATAAATGCAGAGTAATGCACATTGAAAAACATAATCCCAACTATACATATAAAATGATGGGGTCTAAATTATCTGTTACCACTCGAGGAAGAGATCTTGGAGTCATTGTGGATAGTTCTCTGAAAACATCCACTCAGTGTGCAGCAGCAGTCAAAAGGGCGAACAGAATGTTGGGAATCCTTAGGAAAGGGATGGATAAGACAGAAATATCATATTGCCTATATATAAATCCATGGTACACCCACATCTTGAATACTGCATGCAGATGTGGTTGCCCTATCTCAAAAAAGATATATTGGAATTGGAAAAGGTACAGAAAATGGCAACAAAAATGATTAGGAGTTATGGAACAGCTTCTGTATGAGGAAAGATAAATAAAACTGGGACATCTCAGCTTGGAAAAGAGATGACTAAGGGGGAGGGATATGATAGAGGTCTATAAAATCATGACTAGTATGGAGAAATTAAATAAGGAAGTGTTTATTCCTTCTCATAACACAAGAACTAGGGTCACCAAATGAAATTAATAGGCAGGAGGTTTAAAACAAACAAAAGGAAGTATTTCTTCACACAACGCACAGTCAAACTGTGGAACTCTTTGCCAGAGGGTGTTGTGAAGACGAAGACTATAACAGAGTTCAAAAAAGAACTAGATAAATTCATGGAGGATAGGTCCATCAATGGCTATTGGTCAGGATGGGCAGGGATGGTGTCCCTAGTCTCTGTTTGCCAGAAGCTGGAAATGGGCGACAGGGAATGGATCACTTGATGATTACCTGTTCTGTTCATTCCCTCTGTCACCTGGCATTGGCCACTGTCGGAAGACAGGATATTGGGCTAGATGGACCTTTGGTCTGACCCAGTATGGCCGGTCTTATGACCAGGTCTGTGTCTGACCAGTCAGTCCTTAAATTCATAACTCTGCTAGACACTAAAAATCATGGATTGAATAGACAGTGGATTTATGGCTTATTGCAACCACCTTTAACCCACAAATCCTCTCATTTTGTCCTATGACTGCAGAGGTTTTAATAGGCCACTCTACCTTGAATGGTCCCTTAGAGTGTGTGCTAACTACTTATGTTAAACAGTCTGTTCCACCTTGCAATTAGCTGTGTCTTTCAGAGTACTTTTCCCAGACCTGAAGAAGAGCTCTCTGTGGCTTGTCTTTCTCACCAATAGAAGTTGGTTCAATAAAATATATTACCTCACCCACCTTGATCCTCTCATTTGGACATTTCTTGGTAGTTAGTAACCCTCTGGGTAATAGCAAGTGCCAGACTTCTTTAATTATTGAACCATTATAATTTACAGCGTAGGAAGCCATCTGCTTCTTACCATCTCTCTTGTCTAGCTAGGTGGAAACCATGGGCCCTGAGAGGCGACAACTTATTAGAGGTCTCTGGGAATGTAATACTGAGTTAGGCTTGGCATAGTTTTAATGAACCATCTAATATTGTGCTAGTTTTGGTGATGAGCAGGTTCTCGGATGGGGGTGGGCTTAATAGGAAGCTGGCATCAAACATCTCTAGACTCTTTATAGCATTAGGCATGCTGTCAATGAACAATAACTACACACTCCACTTGTCTCTGCAACAGAGTGTCCTGTTTCTTTCACAAGGAATTTCACATTTTGGCCAGGCCATTTTTAGGAATGAGGCGGGATATTTGTATCAATTCTGAATGTAACCCATTCCTTTAGTTCTGCTTCATGTCCTTTCTCTCCTTTTACAGTTAGCATCTGTAATTTTGAAACAATATGTGGAGACTCACTGGTGTTCCCAGTCAGACAAGTTTAGGCATCCAGAGACCACAGAAAGGGTAAGATTCCTGTTTAATACTGTATTGGTTGCATGTTGCTTGTCTGCTGTAACTGATTTTTATCATTGTGGAAAGCTAAGGTTTCTGGTTGGCTTGTTTTGGGGTGGTGGTTGGTATTGATTTATTAGAGCGAGTAATGCCACCTATTATTTAGGTTGTCTAACACTTCCTGTTATAAGACCTGGTTTTCAGTTGCTTATAATTTTCCCAAACTTTAATTCTTTGGGCTGATTTAAAAAACAACAACAAAAAAAACTTCAGCTACATCCATTCAAGTGTTTCTGATAATGAGGCTGTGAAAAAAGTCTTTCAATGTTTAAATAATTCTGGTGACCTTTTCTCTGAGAAGCACTTAACCCTGCCATGCTTTTGACCTTCTAATTGAAATTTGGCAGAGGGGCAGGCTTTGTGTGCATTTTGCTGTTCCTTTGAAAGTCTGCCCAAAATTGGTAAAGTTATAGACATTTGAAAAATCTCAGTTTGCACATGCTTAGTAGAGGCTTCTTAGAGTTTAGCAGCTAAAATTGCCAAAGACTCGGTCCTCACTGAGCATGCCTGAGTCACTCACGCTGACCATACTGTGTATGTGCCATCTGCGCTCAGTGGCTCCAGTCCAGGGCTACACAGGTGAAGCTGGACATTCCATGTAATAGTTGCTGTGAGCTGGGGTGGAGTCAGGCAGCAGACCTGAGAGCAGGGAGCTTCTCTTCTGTGCTCTCAGCAATTCTCCTGCTGGCATCCAGGCAGCATAGAGGATGAAGCCACCTGAACTCAAGTGCAGAGGGGACAAGAGCCAGACTGGGGGGAGGGTAAGGAGTAGATTGGGACAAGGTGTCTGGAGAGGCATGGAGCTAGTTGGCCTGGGGGACACCATACTGAGATCCGACAAGGAACTGGGTGCAGGGGGGGAGAACTGGGATTGACTTAGCAGGAAGACTGGGAACGAGAGGTGGGGAAGAGACTGACTCAGAAAGGCAACCCCAGAGAGGAGATCGGGACTGGCTAGGCAAGAACACTGGGACTGGGCTGAAGATCCAGGGGTGAGGGAAGATACAGGAATGGAACAATGACGGGTTAGAGGGGGTGGGGAAGGGGACAAACTTGTGGGGAAGGAGGCAGAAGAGTCTGTTCCCACCAAAGCGCACTCCCCTCCAGAGACTGGAATAGAACCCACAATTTCTGAATCTTGCCATTCCTCTGCTGTTGACAAATATTTGTTGAACCTAGCGGTAAATTCTCATCTCCCTCTAGTGCTGACACATATAGAGGATGACAGTCTACTACTGCTCTCAACTACTCCCTTAGCTCAAGCAGCGGAGGTCTGTGCAGTGGATCTGAAGGTTCCAACCAGCTAATAAACCATGTGTGTCAATATGTGCATGTGGGAGTTCTGTTTTGTAGTTTGCTTTGAAGAAAAAACAAACACCCTAGGAGATAACATTCTTTTAACATTTTTTTTGGTTTAAGGTTGCAAAGTCAAGCACATCTAGATTGGGGCTCACTGGAAGGGAAATTCTAATTGGAGAAATGAAAGGTGTTAGGAATTGGGTTAAATGTGAGCAGACATCCTGGGTATATTCACCACTAGATTTAGAACTCCTAGGAAAGGCTAGGGTCCTTTTTTATTTGGGATTACTTGGTGCGCTCATACCTTTCCTTCCCTTTGAAGGATTTTATGAGATTAAAACTGTGTATAAAGTATAAACTAAACTTTAATTGCAGTTTACTTTTGGGAAAGCTTTTATATTTGGGTGTGTTTTATATGGGAAGAGTAATACATTTCTGCATGTTGTGCTCTGTCTCCTTTATAAATTGAAAGGAATCCAAATGTGCATGTTTTGAAATCACACTCAGATACTTCCCTTAAACCTGATGCTAACAACAAAAGAATCTGCTAAACATATCAGAATGTGATGAGAGCAGTTTGAAAACACTATATTGTTGTGTGTGATAAGTGATCTCTCTTGCTAAATATCATTATTCTCTGCAGGCAAAAGTTGCCATAAGGGAGCTGTTACCCAATGGCCTGAGAGAATCTATTAGTAAAGTGCGCTCAAGTGTTGCCTATGCAGTTTCAGCCATAGCCCACTGGGACTGGCCTGAGGCTTGGCCCCAGCTTTTCAATTTGTTGATGGAGATGCTGGTCAGTGGTGATCTGAATGCAGTGCATGGAGCCATGAGAGTACTTACAGGTATGTATATATGCATGACAAGACCTGAGCAGTTGTCCTGTTTTTTCCTTGACTTCGATGGTATTGTGCCACATTCCCGCTTCCTGAGTGAAGTAAAGAAGCTGGAGCAGAAGTGGGGTGCCTGTGTGGTGCAGGAATTAAAGCCTCCAGCTCAGTCACTGCAAAACTTCCTTGTCATTAAGGCATAGCAGGGGTTCTCAAACTTCATTGCACTGTGACCCCCTTCTTACAATAAAAATTACTACATGACCCTAGGAGGGAGGACCAAAGCCTGAGCCCTGCTGCCGTGGATGGAGGGGCCAGAGCCCGAGCCCTGCTGTCCTGGGCGGGGGAGGGGGGAAAGCCCAAGGGCTTCAGCCCCAGGCAGGGAGCTTATATCCTGAGCCTCTCCTCCCAGGCCTGAAGTTCTCGGGCTTGGCTTCGGCTCCAGGCCCAGCAAGTCTAAACCAGCCCTCGCAACCCCTTTAAAATGTGGTCCCAACCCACTTTGGGATCCTGACCCACAGTTTGAGAACTGCTGGCATAGAGGAAAGTATGCTGTGCTAATAGGATACAGCTAGGAAGGAATTTCCATTATAAGATCCTATTTTTCAGGTACCTACAACTTTAATCTGACATTTCTTCTGCTTGTTCTCACTACCTGATGAGGTCTGTGTTTAACCAGACTTTCCAAATATACTAAAATGTGTTTGAAGAAAGATAGTATTCATGAACTAAGGGATTTTTAAAATCTTTTCTCACACAACTCGCTATTTACACTTTAATTGCGCCCTGGATTCCGCCACAGAATTATGCCTTTGGTTTGAACACATTTTGTTTACAAATCAAGTTATACTCTTGGAAAACAATCAGTATCAGATTTTTCTAACTGGTATGAACATGGGTATATGTGGAGCATTGTAAACTTGAAATGAGTTTCAAGCACTAGATACTGAGTATCGTTGGAGAAAACCAAATGCAAAAACTGTAAAGGCAACATTAATATTCAATTCTACTCTGAAAAGTGACTTTGGAAATAATATTATGAAGTGGTCTCTGTTTATGCTGGAGACATGCATGTTGAATGTGCTCAAGTTTTATAAGTAAAAACATATTTATAATTGCCAGTTCCACAAATTCACCTTGGATCAAAGAGTTCAGTGGTTTTTCCATTATATGTGTTGTTACAAGTAATAAAGGTTCTATAGGTGAAAATCTCCCTTCAGCAACACCAGTGCAGTCTCATTGTTTTCACTGGGTTGAATTGGTATAATTGATTTGGAACTCAACAAAGCATTTTGTTGATATACAAAACTAAGTGCAGATTCCATTAGTTGTTGTGAGTGGGCTCCCAAGACTAACAGGAGTAAAAATCCGCAACAAATTTACTTTTATCACAAAAGTAAGCAGGTATTTTGAATACATCCAGGAAACTGATTGGAGAAGGAGACATTTTGTAGTCTTTTTCAGAGTAAAGCTACACTTTTATATTTGTGGCACCTTAGAGACTAACAAATTTATTAGAGCATAAGCTTTCGTGGGCTACAGCCCACTTCGTTGGATGCATAGAATGGAACATATAGTAAGATGTAATCTTGTACTGAGTGGCCAGAGAGGTTGAAGTGTTCTCCTACCAGTTTTTGAACGTTATGATGCCCGATGTCAGATTTGTGTCCATTTATTCTTTTGCGTATTGAATAAATGCTCAAATAAATTGGTTAATCTCTAAGGTGCCACAAGTACTCCTTTTCTTTTTGCGAATACAGACTAACACGGCTGTTACTCTGAAACGTTCAAAAACTGGTAGGAGAACACTTCAACCTCTCTGGCCACTCAGTAAAAGATTTAAGGGTGGCAATTTTGCAACAGAAAAGCTTCAAAAACAGACTCCAACGAGAAACTGCTGAGCTTGAATTAATACGCAAACTAGATACCATTAACTTGGGTTTGAATAGAGACTGGGAGTGGTTGGGTCATTACACATATTGAATCTATTTCCTTAAGTATCCTCACACCTTCTTGTCAACTGTCTAAATGGGCCATCTTGATTATCACTACAAAAGTTTTTTTTCTCCTGCTGATAATAGCTCATCTTAAGTAATTAGCCTCTCACAGTTCCTATGGTAACTTCCAATTTACCTGTGTGTGTGTGTGTGTTTTATATAAAATCTCTAATATCTTACTATATGTTCCATTCTATGCATCCGATGAAGTGGGCTGTAGCCCACGAAAGCTTATGCTCTAATAAATTTGTTAGCTTCTAAGGTGCCACAAGTACTCCTGTTCTTTTTGCGAATACAGACTAACACGGCTGCTACTCTGAAACTTTTATATTTGAGATTTTTAAATTAAAGTTAGAAAAATGGAAATCCCTGTGCAAGTATGAATGTGGCCTTGTAATTTTCATTACTTTATAATGCTGGATCCAATAACTTTATGCATTTAATGTAATCTAAATTGCAAAAGCTATTAATTCAGCATTAAGGTTGTACAGTGAAAAGCAGAGCTGGTAGGCACATACGCACTATTCCTGTTTTTCTTGCTATATGAATAATATATCCCAGCTAAAAACTATGGTAAACTAGGTTAAGGTGGAGATATCAGTTTACACGTCAGTAATTTAAGGTTAAAAATATTTCAGCTATTACCAACTTAGGAAATTCAGCATTACCAATTTAGGAAAACAAGCATTACCAATTTACGAAATTTAGAGTTGTTTAACTTGAAAGAAATCCCTGCGGTGACACCAAGCAATAATGGCACAATTATGATTAGTGCATAATAGTGTTTGTAGTTCCAGATTAAACTGATTCTTAAAACACTAATTTTTTCCCTTTTTTTGCTCATGGTATTATTACAGGGCAAAGTTTGAGGTAGTTCATTCCATACTTTAACATGTTTTGATTTCTTTGAGGTTAATTACAATATTCCTATAATATTTTTGACCTTAAATCACTGATACGTACTCAACCTTAACTCCAGTTTAACAGAAAGAAAAGGAGTACTTGTGGCACCTTAGAGACTAACCAATTTATTTGAGCATAAGCTTTCTTTGATTAGAACCCACTTCATCAGATGCATGGAGTGAAAATACAGGAGCAGATATAAATACATCAAAGGATGGGGGTTGCTTTACCAAGTGTGAGGTCAGTCTAATGAGATAAATCAATTAACAGCAGGATATCAAGGGAGGAAAAATAACTTTTGAAGTGGTAATGAGAGTGGCCCATTACAGACACTTGACAAGAAGGTGCGAGTAACAGTAGGGAGAAATTAGTCTCTAAGGTGCCACAAGTACTCCTTTTCTTTTTGCGAATACAGACTAACACGGCTGTTATTCTGAAACCTGTCAGTTTAACAGAGTTATCTAGGAATTTATTTCTTTAAATGATCAAAGATGTCATACATGAACACTAAACAAGAAACCCAAAGATACTGCTGAGATTTCTAATGACTTTAAGATAAGTAGTATGAACCTTAAATTTTCTTTTAAATCTGAGTGCCATATTCACCAGTACACTCTGGCTTTTTTCCCTTAAGGGGCAGTTCAGTGCAGCCAGAAAGTACTGGCCAGTTTTTCCTAGTTTCTAACCCCTGTAATTCTCTGGTGTATGCACACCCTAACTTCCCCCTCTCTATTTCTCCACATTTCCCCAAATTTGTACACACCCCAGCTTTCCCTTTCTCCTGGCCCCAAGGGTTTCCCTGCCCATCACGCTGTTTCATTACTTGTAGAGTTGATCTAGTGGAAGGGATAGTTTTAAAAACAATTTTGGGGTGATTGGTCATTTTTGCTGCTATTTTTCATAATTGAAAATTTTTTTGCAACGGGGCTGCCAAATGTTCTTTTATAGAAATCTCTATAAAGAATTGTAATATCTGTCAATGCCTACCACTTCCCATTGCCCTCAAAACCAATGAAAACTGGTGGTTATAATGGAAACTATTTAGCAGCCTTAACTCCATTGGATACTGTTGGTGCCGGCTAGAATATTAAAATATTCATTATAGTGACTCATGCCTAGCACCATAGCATCTAGGTGCTTATTTACAAAATATATCAGCACAAATTATATAAATCCAGGGCTGGCTGATCATTGGTGCGAAGCCTCACCAGTAATGTCCTATCTGTCATGTGGCTAATCACTGCTGGGCGTAGTACCTCTTGCTGACACGGGGAGTATCTATGAGGCTGAAGCTGCTCCATCCTTTGGAAGTTGCTGTACATCTTTCTATCATTGGGGGAGCTTTGGCCTGGCAGCAGAGGGAGAAGGGACAAGGCATGGAGTACAGGCTTCTGTGGGGTTATCTCCAGATAGAAACAGTATAGGGCTGTTTGCACATGCCCCTGCTGACCCTGGAACATCCATTTTCCACATGGAAAATATGAGCTACTTCAAAAGGGGATTTGGTGCAGAATGTTATCTGCAGCCTCAGCACTAATTTTGGATACCAACTGCTACTGTATTAAATAATGGGGAGCATTAATCAAAACTATTGTCAAAAATGTTAGCAGCTCACATGTTAGATGCGTAGTCTTTAAGGCCAGAAGGGACCATCATGATCATCTAGTCTGACCCATCTGCACATCGCAGGCCATAGAACCTCACCCACCCCCTCCTTTAATAGGCCCATAACTTCTAGCTTAGTTACTGAAGTCCTCAAATCTTGATTTAAAGACCTCAAGTTACAGAGAATCCATGATTTACTCCAGTTCAAACCAGCAAGTGACTCGTGCCCCACACTGCAGAGGAAGGTGAAAAACTTGGGTTACTGCCAGTCTGACTTGGGGGGAAATCACTTTTCAACCCCAAATATGGCTATTAGTTAGACCCTGAACATGTGGGTGAGACCCACCAATTAGATACCTGAGAGAGAATTCTATGTAGTAAGTCAGAGCCCTCCCCGTCTAGTGTCCCGTCTCTGGTCATTGGAGATATTGCTTAGTGGCAGTCGCCATATGCCACTGTAGGCAACCTCATCATACCATTTCCTCCATAAACGTATCAAGTTCAGTCTTAAAACAGGTTTGGTTTTTACCCCCACTGCTTCCATTGGAAGGCTATTCCAGAACTTCACTCCTCTGGTGGTTAGAAACTGTTGCCTAATTTCATGTCTAAATTTCTGCCAAGGTCATTAGTGAAAATGTTAACTAAGATTGGTCCCAAGACTGATCCTTGAGGAACTCCATTAATAAACTTCCTCCAGCCTGATGGTTCACCGTTCAGCATGACCAGTTTTACTCTCCCCTTCAACAAGTTCCTTTGCTATCTTTTGATTCTCATATTAATCCCCATCTTCTCCAAGTTAACTAACTTCCCATGTGGAACTGTATCAAATGCTTTAGTGAAATCCAGGCAGATTGCATGTACTGCATTTACTTTGTCTAGAAAATCAGTTATCTCAAAGAAGGAGATGGGGTTGGTCTGGCACAATCTACCTTTTGTAAAACCATGCTGTATTTTATCCCCATTACCGTTTACCTCTGTGTTCTTAACTACTCCTTCAAAATTTGTTCTAAGATCTTGCATACAATTGAGGTCACACGAATGGGGCTGTAGTTTCCTAAATCACATTTTTTTTTCTTCCTTTCTCTAAAGAAGGGACTGTAGTTGCAGTTCTCCTGTCATAGGGTACGACACCCCACATTTATGGATTCATAAAAGATACTTCCTATTGGGATTGCAATTCCATGTGCCAGCTCCTCTAATATTCTTGGGTGGAGATTATCCAGGCTTCCCAATTTAGTCCCATTCATAGAATGTCAGGGTTGGAAGGGACCTCAGGAGGTCATTTAGTCTAACCCCCTGCTCAAAGCAGGACCAATCCCCAACTAAGTCATCCCAGCCAAGGCTTTGTCAAGCCTGATCTTAAAAACTTCTAAGGAAGGGGATTCCACCACCTCCCTAGGTAATGCATTCCAGTGTTTCACCACCCTCCTAGTGAAAAAGTTTTCCTAATATCCAACCTAAACCTCCCCCACTGCAACTTGAGACCATTACTCCTTGTTCTGTCATCTGCTACCACTGAGAACAGTCTAGAGCCATCCTCTTTGGAACCACCTCTCAGGTAGTTGAAAGCAGCTATCAAATCCCCCCTCATTCTTCTCCTCTGCAGACTAAACAATTCCAGTTCCCTCAGCCTCTCCTCATAAGTCATGTGTTCCAGTCCCCTAATCATTTTTGTTGCCCTCTGCTGGACTCTTTCCAATTTTTCCACATCCTTCTTGTAGTGTGGGGCCCAAAACTGGACACAGTACTCCAGATGAGGCCTCACCAATGTCGAACAGAGGAAGAACAATCATGTCCCTCGATCTGCTGGCAATGCCCCTGCTTATACAGCCCCAAATGTCATTGGCCTTCTTGGCAACAAGGGCACACTGTTGACTCATATCCAGCTTCTCGTCCACTGTAACCCCTAGGTCCTTTTCTGCATGACTGCTGCCTAGCCATTCGGTCCCTAGTCCGTAGCAGTACATGGGATTCTTCCATCCTAAGTGCAGGACTCTGCACTTGTCCTTGTTGAACCTCATCAGATTTCTTTTGGCCCAATCCTCTAATTTGCCTAGGGCTGTCTGTATCCTATCCCTACCCTCCAGCGTATCTACCACTCATCCCAGTTTAGTGTCATCTGCAAACTTGCTGAGGGTGTAATCCACACCATTCTCCAGAACATTAATGAAGATATTGAATAAAACCGGCGCCAGGACTGACCCTTGGGGCACTCCACTTGCTACCGGCTGCCAACTAGACATGGAGCCATTGATTACTACCCGTTGAGCCCGACAATCTAGCCAGCTTTCTATCCACCTTACCGTCCATTCATCCAGCCCATACTTCTTTAACTTGCTGGCAAGAATACTGTGACTGTGTCAAAAGCTTTGCTAAAGTCAAGGAACAACACGTCCACTGCTTTCCCCTCATCCACAGAGCCAGTTATCTCATCATAGAAGGCAATTATATTAGTCAGGCATGACTTGTCCTTGGTGAATCCATGCTGACTGTTCCTGATCACTTTCCTCTCCTCTAAGTGCTTCAGAATTGATTCCTTGAGGACCTGCTCCATGATTTTTCCAGGGACTGAGGTGAGGCTGACTGGCCTGTAGTTCCCCGGATTCTCCTTCTTCCCTATTTTAAAGATGGGTAGTACATTAGCCTTTTTCCAGTCATCCGGGACCTCCCCCGATTGCCATAAGTTTTCAAAGATAATGGCCAATGGCTCTGCAATCACATCCGCCAACTCCTTTAGCACTCTCAGATGCAGCGCATCCGGCCCCATGGACTTGTGTTCATCCAGCTTTTCTAAATAGTCCCGAACCACTTCTTTCTCCACAGAGGACTGGTCACCTCCTCCCCATGCTGTGCTGCCCAGTCAGTGTGAGCTGATATTGTTCGTGAAGACAAAGGCAAAAAAAAGCATTGAGTACTTCAGCTTTTTCCACATCCTCTGTCACTAGGTTGCCTCCCTCATTCAGTAAGGGGCCCACACTTTCCTCGACTTTCTTCTTGTTGCTGACATACCTGAAGAAACCCTTCTTGTTACTCTTAACATCTCTTGCTAGCTGCAACTCCAGGTGTGATTTGGCCTTCCTGATTTCACTCCTGTATGCCCGACCAATATTTTTATACTCTTCCCTGGTCATTTGTCCAATCTTCCACTTCTTGTAAGCTTCTTCCATTAGATTGTTTGAGTTTGGCGTCCACCTCAGATGTGGTAATTTATTCTTTCATATCCTCATTCCCATTACCACCCTTCTGCTGCCCCCAAGCTCCTCATTTTCCTTAGTAAAAAATGAAGGAAAGCATTTGTTCAGATGTTGGACTGTACCGAGATTATCTTTAATTGCCACCCTGTCCTCAGCGCCTAGCGGTCTCACCTTTCCTTGCTTTCTTTTTATTTACAGGGCTAAAGAAATTTTTACTGTTTTTAATTTCCTATGTAAGCGCTAGCTCTGCTTGCCTTTTGGCAGTTCTCACTTTTTCCTTATGCTTTCTGATCTCAAGGGTATGTCTACCCTTCCGTTAAAAACCTTCAGGTGGCCCATGCAAGCTCACTCAGACTTGCAGGGCTGCAGCCTAAGCTCTGGGACCCTCCCATCTCACAGGGTTCTAGAGCCCAGGCTCCCATCTGAACGCAAACATCTACACTGTCATTAAATAGCCCCTTAGTCTGAGCCGTGTGAGCCTAGTCAACTGGCACGGTCCAGATGTGGGTTTTTAATTGCAGTGTAGAAACACCCCCAAGAGAGAGCTTTCCTTGTTGGTCCATTCCTTTTTCCATTCCTTGTGGACTTTCTTCTTGCCCTTAATAATCTGCCTGAAATGCTTGTTCATCCAGTTTAGTCTGCAACTTGTCCCTACAAATTTTTTCCCCCTGCTTGGAATGCAGGCTCCAACTGCAACTTTGATTTAAAATAATTTCAAGACTCCTCCACATTCTTGAAATCAATGAGCCTGCCTGCAGACCTAGTTTGTAGGGGGGGTTGTGGTACTGCTACCCTTACTTCTGCGCTGCTGCTGGCAGAAGTGCTGCCTTCAGAGCTGGGCAGCTAGAGAGCGGCGGCTGCTGACTGAGGGCCCAGCTCTGAAGGCAGAGCTCCTGCCAGCAGCAGTGCAGAAGTAAGGATGCCGTGGCTTGGTATTACCACCCTTACTTCTGCATTGCTGCCTACGGAGCTGGGCCCTTGGTCAGCAGACGCCACTCTCCAGCCACTGAGCTCTGAAGGCAGCAGCGCAGAAATAAGAGTGGCATGGTAGGATATTGCCATCCTTAGTTCTGCACTGCTGCTGGCGGGGCGCTACCTTCAGAGCTGGGCGCCCAACTAATAGCCGCCTCTCTATGGCCACCCAGTTCTGAAGGCAGCCCAGAAGTAAGGGTGGCAATACCGCAACCCCCCTTAAATAACCTTGTCACCCCCCTGCAACTCCATTTTGGGTCAGGCCCCCCAGTTTGAGAGACGCTGGTCTCCGCTCCTGAAATGTGCATATTATAGGGTAAAAGTACACAAGACCAGATTTCACAGGGGGAGACCAGATTTCATAATCCGTGACACATTTTTCATGGCCTTGAATTTGGTAGGGCCCTACACACTGGTGTAAATTAAAGTTTAACGAAGAATAAAATCACTTCTATTGTTGAGGCTGAACTGAATTGGAGTGTGAACCTGGGAGATAATGCTCACATGTATGGGGACTCTCCTCTTTACTTGTTTCTCTTCCTAGAGTTTACCCGGGAAGTGACAGACACACAGATGCCACTCGTCGCTCCTGTTATTCTTCCTGAGATGTACAAAATTTTCACAATGGCGGAGGTATGGCAAAGAACTATTTGTCTTCACTGTTAGTGGTACTAACTAAATGACAACATATTGCCGGTTAGTAGGTTAGGGAGGGAGGTGCCTGTTCTGAAGGAATAAAGAAATGTAGATGTAGCTAGATGTCATGTGTTTGAAAGTAATTAAATATTGTGATGACCTACTGAATGCATTAAGAGGGTATTTCAGGTAAGTGAGAATGAGATTGTGCTGGATTCTGATATCTCTCTCTCCTTTTCCTGCAGTTTTGGTTACTACAATGTCTCTTAGGAGTTTTCAGGTTCATTGTTCAGTGTTAAGAAATTAGCTGGTGACTTGTTCAAATTTAGACTGTGCTGAAGAAAGAGAAATCTCTGAAATAAGTGTGTTAAGGATAACGTATGAGCATGGTTAATGGTAGTGATTAAACACACTTTCGCTTCCCTGGTATCACCAGCATTTTTCTTGTCACACCTGAGACATATATGTTTTCTAAAAGGTATATGGTATTCGCACCAGATCACGTGCAGTAGAGATCTTCACCACATGTGCCCATATGATCTGTAACATGGAGGAGCTGGAGAAGGTAAGTTTGATTTTCAGTTCATGAGTTCATTGTATATTGCAGGAAATTATTCTGAGCAGGTGTAAAATTAGCATCTGTTTGGAAACTTAGAATATTTATTCTATACTACTGTAATTTTGGGGAGAATGTTATATTTCTCTTATATGCAAAGTGGCCGAATCTCTACTTCAAGTGCAAAACTCAATGCAACTGGCTTCTTCACACTTAATTTTAACTCCTAAACTGATCAATAGATTTACTTGGAACTTGTGAGAAAACATTTTCAGGACACAGATTAAGTGCTGTAATTTGGGGAAGAAGGCACCATATGGTCCATTCTGGAGGTCCTCCTCATGGCTGTCACAGTTACTGAGCGAATTGCACCTCTGACTCTTGATCTCTTCCAGTGCACCCCCCTTTAGGTTTTGGGCCTTGGGCGGTCACCTGGGTCCAGGTGGAATCATTCTGTTCTCCCATTGTCAGACCAGGCCCTGGGTTGCAATCCCCTAGTACTAACTGTGATTACCTCTGCAGGTTTGACTTAGGTTCAGACCCTGCAGTTCTGCTCTCAGGGATAAGAGAGAGCCTCCTTAAGGCAAAGTATTATTTATTTAGAGGAAGGGATTTCTCTGAAATATTTATCTTAAAAACAGTAAAACAGACTACATATATCTAGCTTTTCCCTGAGACTTACCATTCCCAGGCTCTGGGAAAGCCCATGTCTTCAGGTTCCTTCAGCGGAGTCTCTGTCTGTCTTCCCCCCCATACCCCCCCCATCAGTCTGTCTTTCTAAAAGCTTGTCCCATTGCCTTTCAGGTGTGCTGGGGTGTTCTTATTTAGATTTCTTGTGCTGCTTTCTTGAGTATGGAACTAATAACGAGGATGTTGAATACTGCTTTAAGTTTCAGAGTAACAGCCGTGTTAGTCTGTATTCGCAAAAAGAAAAGGAGTACTTGTGGCACCTTAGAGACTAACCAATGTATTTGAGCATGAGCTTTCGTGAGCTACAGCTCACTTCATTGGATGCATACTGTGGAAAATACAGAAGATGTTTGCTTTTATACACACAAATCATGAAAAAATGGGTGTTTATCACTACAAAAGGTTTTCTCTCCCCCCACCCCACTCTCCTGTTGGTAATAGCTTATCTAAAGTGATCACTCTCCTTACAATGTGTATGATAATCAAGGTGGGCCATTTCCAGCACAAATTCAGAGTTTAATAAGAACGTCTGGGGAGGAGGGGGTGTGTTAGGAAAACAAGGAGAAATAGGTTTCCTTGCATAATGACTTAGCCACTCCCAGTCTCTATTCAAGCCTAAGTTAATTGTATCCAATTTGCAAATGAATTCCAATTCAGCAGTCTCTCACTGGAGTCTGGATTTGAATGCCCCTCTGCCATGTACATTGGTCAAACTGGACAGTCTCTATGTAAAAGAATAAATGGACACAAATCAGATGTCAAGAATTATAACATTCATAAACCAGTTGGAGAACACTTCAATCTCTCTGGTCACGCGATTACAGACATGAAAGTTGCCATATTACAACAGAAAAACTTCAAATCCAGACTTCAGCGAGAGACTGCTGAATTGGAATTCATTTGCAAATTGGATACAATTAACTTAGGCTTGAATAGAGACTGGGAATGGTGAAGTCATTATGCAAGGTAACCTATTTCCCCTTGTTTTCCTACCCCCCCCCCCCCAGACATTCTTGTTAAACCCTGGATTTGTGCTGGAAATGGCCCACCTTGATTATCATACACATTGTAAGGAGAGTGATCACTTTAGATAAGCTATTACCAGCAGGAGAGTGGGGTGGGGGGAGAGAAAACCTTTTGTAGTGATAAACACCCATTTTTTTCATGATTTGTGTGTATAAAAGCAAACATCTTCTGTATTTTCCACAGTATGCATCCAATGAAGTGAGCTGTAGCTCACGAAAGCTTATGCTCAAATAAATTGGTTAGTCTCTAAGGTGCCACAAGTACTGCTTTAAGTGTGGAACTTAACTGTCTTTCTTACGGAGTCACAACCAGTGCCTTTATAATATTGCGTAAGTTTTGATGTGTCTGATTTTTCTTACTCTGTCCAAAGTGCAGACTTTAATCTTGCTCCACCTAGCACCATTTACAGTGCAGCCAAAATGCTTTTTGTATATATTACCCAGAGAAATCAACACAGCAATTCTCATGCCAGCTTTTATTACTTAAGACGGTTTTTGAAAAGCTTGCTCTGCTTTGCAATTGTTGCTGGCTTCCAAACTGAAAAAGCCAGTCAGTTTGACAGTCATTGTGAAGAGGCACCCCCGGAAGCTGCATGTGACTCCTCAATGCACAGCAGTTGTCATCAGCTTCTACTTTGTTTTGGGGCAACATAACGGTATGATTTCCATTGCTGTCTGTGAGCTTCAGCTTTTAATAGTGTGCATGTAAATTTACCAGTTATTGTAGACTGTCTTTTTGTTCTGTTTGTACAGCGCCTGGCACAGTGGTGTCCTGGTCCATGTCTGAGACGCCCAAGTGCTATGGTAATACTAATGTATAGAATTCAATACTACTTGTATTTGTTGTGACTAGGGTGCAGCCAAAGTCCTGATCTTTCCTGTAGTGCAGCAGTTCACAGAGGCCTTTGTTCAGGCCCTACAGATGCCTGATGGGCCTACATCGGACAGTGGATTTAAAATGGAGGTCTTAAAGGTAAGCACATAGTGTGGTACAGTAATTAATACCCACATGTATGTTGTCTTAACACGGAGACAGAAAAACAAGGCTAATGTCATCCTTGTTGGCATTACACATTTTGAGTTGCAGAGTGCTGTGACTCCAACAACTTGCAATGTTAACATGAGCCATTTTGTCTGAATGAGTTGTAGATGCGTATGGTTAGCTGTCTTTGTCAGCTGTGGACTCAGGTGTGTGTGCGCATGCATGCACATGAGAGAGCTGTAGCTTGTCTCTATGATGGCAGACAAATAGTCTGGTGGGATTCTAATTTTGTTAGCTGGTATTTGGTGTATTCTAACTGGGAATGTCTGTTTTTGATTAAGGTGATTTGAATCTTCACAAATATTTTGAATCTTCACAAATGTACACAGTGTATCTTGACAGCTTTTTGATTACAGTCAGGACCCTGTGTGTTCCATGATTCCAAGGCTGTGGTATTCATTTCTTGCTGCAGAATTATGCTACAGAATGTTTTAATTTAAAAAAAAATCTGGTCCTTATGGTTGCAAAGGGAACAGTGAAAATGTGAACCGAGTGTCAACTGATGGTGTTTTCTTCCTGAGTTTTCAGATAGCTTGGATCCAGTACCTTTTAGAAATCTGACCTGCCTCACTCTTCTCAGTCAGAAGAACCCTGTGGATTCTGTGGTTTATGGTCTGGATAAATTGGCATCTTTCCAAGATGCTGTGGAAGTTGCAATTTTGTTGTTTTGGGTGTTGGACATTTTGTGTCTCAGCCCTGCCAAGACTTGTCTGTACCTTTATTATTTAACCTTTATATTGCACTAATGCCTAAACTAGGGTGAGGGCCTTCTTCGGTTCTCCATGTTTCCACACAAGAACGAGTTGACTGGATTACAGTGCATTCTTTCTGCATTGTTTCATAGAGCCAAGCCGGTTTGAATAAGGGAGTCAAAGTAAGAATCCAGCTGTAGCTTTATAGCAGGGCAAGAATTAGAAGAGTAGGCTGTGCTGCCTAGAGAGCAACGTAACAGCCAAGGTTTGGAGAGCCAAAAGTATGAGCTGCTGAAACTAACTCAGAGCTCCCTCAGTGGAGAGAAGGTTCTGAGCTGGGGTTCTTGGACAATATTGCAAATGCTGAGCAGGCTGCCTGGAGAACATAATGCAATACAAGTGTCAATGACTTCTACTCAGTCTCTGAGCCTCAGGAGTGTGTGTTCAGAGATGTGGAGGAATGTTACAGAATTTCCATGTTCTTATGCATGGAGCCTGTGCATTGTCATAGCTGTCATATAGCAAATGCAGAGGAAATGGTGACACTCAGCAGTAGTGCGAACGATTATGAATCCGGAATATTCTGTACAGCTGCTCTTAATTTGTGTAAGGCTCCAATTCAAGAAAATACTTATGTTAGAGCAGGGGTGGGCAAACTTTTTGGCCTGAGGGCCACATTAGGGTTCTGAATCTGTATGGAGGGCTGGGTAGGGAAGGCTGTGCCTCCCCAAAGAGCCTGGCCCCTGCCCCATATCCGCCCCTTCACACTTCCTGCCCCCTTCAGAACCCCTGACCCATCCAATCCCACCCTATTCCTTGTCCCCGACTGCCCCCTCCCAGGACTCCACCTCCTATTCAACCCCCCATCCCCTGACTGCCCTGACCCATATCCACACCCCCGCCCCCTGACAGGCCCCACAGGATTTCCACACCTATTCAACCCCCCAATTCCCTGACTCTGAGCTCTGAGCAGTCATACTGCTCTCTTACATACAGTGCAACTCCTCCACCTTTTCTCCCCCACCTGTTCTTCCTGAAGAGTTTATACCCATCCATGACAGTGCTCCAGTTATGTAAGTTACACCACCAAGTCTCTGTTATTCCAATCACATCATAGTTCCTTTACTGTGCCAGGACTTCCAGTTCTTCCTGCTTGTTTCCCAGGCTTCTTGCATTTGTGTATAGGCACCTAAGAAAACTAACTGATTGCCCGGATTTCTCAGTATGAATCAGGAAGCCTCCCCTGTTGCACTCTCCTCCTTGTGTTTCCTCCCAATATCCCACTTCCGCCACCTACCTCAGAGCTTAGGTCTCCATCCCCCAGTGAACCTAGTTTTAAAGCTCTCCTCACTAGGTTAGCAAGCCTGCCTGCAAAGATGCTCTTCCTTCTCTTCGTTAGGTGGATCCCATCTCTTCTTAGCAATCCTCCTTCCTGGAACAACGTCCTATGGTCGAAGAATCCAAAGCCCTCTCTCTGACACCACCTGTGCAACCACGCATTGACTTCCACCGTTTGATGGTTCCTACCTGGGCTTTGTCCTTCAACAGGGACAAGAACACAACTTGTGCCTCAAACTCCTTTATCCTTGTCAAGGCTGATTCCCAACTCTGTGCACTCCCTTCTCTTCATATGCCAGTATATTTATGCATCTGTATCTGTAATTTTCACTCTATGCATCTAAAGAAGTGTGTTTTTGCCCACAAAAACTTATGCCCAAATAAATCTGTTAGTCTTTTTAAGGTGCCACCAGACTCCTCATTTTTCATAAGTTGTTTCTTAGTTCCTCTTATTCTCATTAGCATCTATGCACAGCATATACCCTGTGGTCAGGACAGGACATACAATGATGTTACAATCAGGTGTCTCATGATCCTGGACAATACCTTGCAGTTTATTGCAATCTAGTTTTTGTAACATTACCTATTGTCACATCTTTTACACTAATCTTGTGACCTTCCTGGCATAGGGTTATTCCTAGATCACCCACTTATGTCAGGTGTTTTTAAGCCTATGGCCTAGTCTGACTAAGCTGAAATCTTACAGGTCTCAGCCTATAGGTCTTGCGTTCCAGCCATGCTTTACTTATAAACCTGTACTTCTATACACTCTCATCACTCCTAAATACTTGTCAATCGTATCCTTCTGTACTCCTACAATTTAAATCTATTTAGCATACGTTGATTATGTTATAATGGCGCATGAATTGACCATAACACAATAATAAATGGATGATAAAATGAACTAATTGGCTACAGGGACCACTTGGAAGAAGACACTTAAGTTTTTATTAGAGGCTGACAAACAACCAGCAAGAGTGGGAACATTTGCAGAGCAAGAGGTCAGGGAGAGATACAAAACTTGACGAGAGGTGTGATGAATGTGGGGATTTTAGTAATATTTTTGATTCCCATGCATGCCTCAGTTTCTACCTTGGCTTTGCATTTCTGTGCACTAATTGTAAGGGGGAGGGATGATGTGTTGACTCGGCAACCTGATTGGAGTCATTAACAAACTGAGTAAAGTCTTCACATGTCAGTGGAGGATATGAGGACAAAGGAAACCCCAAATGGCCTGAATGTTCACACCTAGCTACCATCAGCAAGAGCAGGGGCGGGCAAACTTTTTGGCCTGAGGGCCACATCGGGTTTCTGAAATTGTGTGGAGGGATGGTTATGGGAGGCTGTGCTTCCCCAAACAGCCAGGCATGGCCTGGTCCCCACTCCCTATCCAATCTCCCCCTCCCCCCGGCTTCTCGCCCCCTGACTGCCCCCCCGGACCCCCGCCCCATCCAGCCGCCCTGACTACCCCCTGCCACCCCATCCAACCCCCTCCTTTCATTCCTGACCCCCCCACCCCCGGACCCCTGCCCCATCCAACCACCCCTTCTCCCTGTCCCCAACCGCCCCCAGAATCCCTGCCCCTGACTGCCCCTTGCCACCCCACCCAACCCCCCTCTCCTTCCTGACTGCCCCCCAGGGACTCCTGCCCCCATTCAACTCCCCTGTTCCCCGCCCTCTGACCACCCCAACCCCCATTTATACCCCAGTCCCCTAACCATCACCCCATACTCCCCTGCCCTCTATACAATCCCCCCTGCTCCCTGCCCCCTTACCATGCTGTCTGGAGCACTGGTGGCTGGCAGTGCTACAGCCTTGCCACCCAGAGCACCAGAACAGGCAGCCATGCCGCCCGACTGGAGCCACCGTGCAGCACAGAGCATGGGTCAGGCCGCGGCTCTGCAGCTGCACTGCCCGGCAAGAGCTCACAGCCCCCCTCCCCACCCAGAGCATTGCACCGGCAGCAGCAGCGCAGTGAGCTGAGGCTGCAGGGGAGGGGGGACAGCAGGGAAGGGGCTGGGGACTAGCCTCCTGGGCCAGGAGTTCAGGGGCCAGGCAAGAGGGTTGTAGTTTGCCCACCTCTGAGCAAGAGGAAGGAGATTTTCTCTCCCCCCCCCCCCACCCCTCCTTTGCAGGGAAGTAGAGCAGGAGAAAAATGGGGTGTCACGGGGCTCTGTTAAGAGCGGAGCTCACAGATACAACAGTCACACACCTGGGATAAAAGACACAGAGGCAGCAGAAGAGACAGGAAAAAAAAAAGGTAGGTACAGTATAGTACTGTATTAAACATGATAAAGGGAAAGCAACATTTTTCTTCTGCATAGTAAAGTTTCAAAGCTGTATTAAGTAATTGTTCACTTGTAAACTTTTGAAAGAACAACCATAATTTTTGTTCAGTTATGGTGTTTGTAACTCTGAGGTTCTACTGTAGCTGGCCTGGTGGTATCCAGTTTGAACTCTGGTCTTAACCGTTGCCTCTCTTTGCTAACCTGAGGACTTTCAGATTCTGTTTTCCAGGTGACTAATGCATTGTTACCTTGATTTGAAAATGCTGCCTGATGTCACTGCAAATACTTACAGGGATCATTGCACCCTGAAGGAGTAAAGACTTTGACTCCCTCAGGGAACGGATGGGTAGGATCCCCTGGGGGACTAACATGAAGGGGAAAGGAGTCCAGGAGAGCTGGCTGTATTTCAAGGAATCCCTGTTGAGGTTACAGGGACAAACCATCCCAATGTGTCAAAAGAATAGTAAATATGGCAGGCGACCAGCTTTGGCTTAACGGTGAAATCCTAGCAGATCTTAAACATAAAAAAGAAGCTTACAAGAAGTGAAAGTTTTAGACATATGACCAGGGAAGAGTATAAAAATATTGCTCAGGCATGTAGGAATGAAATCAG